GGAGATGTACCAAAACTTATCTGCAATTGATTGATACATTTTCTACAGATGTAAAGAAAGATGCTGTACCTGTTTTAAACTAAAATTAAAAAACACTTATTAAAAAAAATGATGCTAAAATGGGTTCATTGATCTTCTTTGGAAATTCCATAATTAAAGTAGAACCATAGAAAAAATTATTTCCCTACTAGAGACCTACTTCATCTCCCTTTTTAGGTTGGGGACAGCTGGAGGAGGTCACAGTAGATACATATGGGAAAATGCATTCCTTCAAACAGTAAAGTGTGAGTTGAATTCAGATCAGTTCACTATTTTCTGTTTTAATTTCAGTGAATGTGAACAAAGTAAAATCCCCTTTCTGTTGAATGTAATCTTTGTGATTTTATGCAAAGATCTGGGTGCAGTTTTCTTGCCAACTATGGAGAAATTGTTTGTCACTGCCTTCTTCATTTCTTCTTTACTTTCCAGTCTAGAGTAACCAGGTCCTATGAATGATCCCTCTGTGTCAAAAAATTCTGCTTATATATCTTTGTTTTGCTTTGGCAATTATTTCATCAAAATACTTAATGTTTAAAGAATATTATCCTCCATGAGAACATGACGCTCTGGAATCTTAAATACATATCATTTTTCTTTAGATCAGTCTGTGAGGGAAAAGGTATATTTTTCTATTACAAAAACAATATCCACAGATTCTATTCTTAGTTTAGCATGGCAAATAATTCACATGAGTAACTAACACGTTCCATGTCAAGGGTTGCATATTTTTTATTTAATGGGATTTTTTGAACCTTGAGCAGGAAAGAAACATGTATTTAAGCCATCTGAACTATAAACAAGAGTTATCCATTTCAGAGAGCTAAACTGGCTTCAACAAGAGTTCTTTTATATTCTTCCTAATCCTAATCTAATATTTATTTATAGTCATATCAAATGTTTAAGAAAACATTCATGAGCAAACTAAAACACCATTTTCTTTTTCAATTCACATATTTCTCATGTCTATAACCTATATTAACCTTATTTCCCTTCACAAAGTGTTGTGTACTTCAGAATCAAAGGAGGAAGCTATAATTTTAATAATTCCCTATTTTATGTCCCTTTCTGGTCAGAGTTCTACAGATACAGTGTCCCTAAATACTAAAGTGTGAAGTTAGTGTGAAGGGAAAAATATGTCAGTATCTATGACTTTCTTCTTCTCAAAATGATATTCAGCTATTACTTTTTTTTTACACAGGATTTTCCTTAATTTGTCACAATTCAAAGGCAGAATAGGTTTCGAACATCAGGGCAGCACAGTTTATGCCTGCATATTTTTCTGTCAAGTCAAGAAATGGTGGATAGCACATTAATTCAGCTGTGAAGAATAAAGCTCCAATGTTGAACCAGTTAAACAATATCAAAATATGTTATCGCATTGTTCAAAACGGGAGGAGAGTGTTTTTAGGATGAGTAACATGTAATGCTATCATAGGTTTTGGTATGTACTAGCAATTCTGGGTCTTTATAACCCAAAGGAAATTGCTGGCAATATCTTCATTTCCACCAGATCCTGAAAGAAGCAGGTAAGAAGGAGCATTGATGTATTTTGAGAGTGACATTGTTAAAGAATAGTGAAATAGTGAGAGGTCCAAAGGAGCAAAATAGTCATTAGATGGGAGAATCTTGATTTTTTTCTTTTGGAAGTAGCTTCAGCTACTTCTACCAGAATCTAATCCTTCCCAGTAACATCAGTTCAAGAATATTTAAACAAAAGGGTGGAAAATGTATTCCAGAAAGAGGACTATATTTTATGCCATTCTATCTTTGTGTATGAACCTATATAGTACATGTTTCTAATTCCCGAAAAAGGAAATAGAAATTGTATGAAAGCTGAGGTAGGTTACAAAAGAAAAAAGTCATCAACTGAAAATATACCTGCTGTTCCAAAAGAAATTGATTATTGATTAATTTTGACCACAGATTTAGACCTTCTACTAATCTTGCCAATATACAACCAATATGTTGTGAGAATCCTGAAAAGAGTTAATTCAGTAATTGAGCTATATATTTTGTAACAATACAGTCATTTAGTTAATGAGTTAGGATAATTAGACAATGTACAGCTTATCCTGAGGCACCAAAGGTAGATGAGAAAAGTCAAAATATCTGGATACGTTTATACTCGAAAGAACAAATGGGGTCCATGAAAGCAGTCATCAAATAACTAACTATCACGAAAATGGAACAAAGTTGTTTGCTGTTGCTCCAGAGGACAGAAAGTGGAACCAACTGATAAAAATGGTAAGAAAGCGGGTTTCACCTAAATCACAGAAAGAACTTTTAATTATTGAGCTGTTCAATGGTAAGACAGTCTCAAGAGTCAGGAGCTGTTTTTTGTTGTAAACATTTAAGAAAATGATGAATAACCATCAGTCAGAGGTAATGAAACTGCAAAAAGCAAAGCTGGAAAACACTGAACAGTGGTGGTAACAACCACCTGCCAGCCTTAAATCACATCACTAAAATCTATCTACATGTAAAAAAGGTTTGTGTATGTATGTTTGAGAATAACTTTGGAGTGCCTCGAGCAATTTCAACCACACTTGGTACACAGATGACCTACCCTCTGGAAACAAATACTGGGAGGGAGACACCCCGGGAGGTGTTTGTGTGTTTGTGTGTTTGTGTGTGTGTGTGTGTGTGTGTGTGTGTGTGTGTGTGTGTGTGTGTGTGTTCCAGCATAACTCTGCCCATAAGCCTGGCCCATTAAGGAGAGTGACTGCTGTGTCCTAGAGCGGCAATTGTTTGTAATATCATGGGTGGGAGAAGGAAGAGCTTGTGCCATTAAGGAAAGCAGATACAGCATCCTAGATCAGCAATTGTTTGTGATGTCAGTTCCTTCACAGCTTCCTCTGGAAAGCCAGCCATGAAGTTTGTCCTCCAGTAAACCAATCGGGAAGTGCCTGATGGATTTGGGGCAATGTGCCACGATTGTAGACAGGGCGGGAAAGAGGAGCACATCGGAGGGGGAAGAGAGAGCGCAGGGATGGTAGGCATGGGAATAGGGGGAAGAAAAGCCCCTCTCAATGGCTCCCTGTCAGACAAATACTTTGACATCTATAAATATCTGGGCATCAGCTAGTTAACAATAAAGGACATCTATTTGAGGTCCTGTGTGATATAGTAGGTCTGGAGAAAGCCTGATCTGAAAACAACAGCTTTCTCAAAGTCTTATGGAAAGAAATTGATTTAAGGATGAAAAGGTGTACCACCTTGAGCTCTTAAAGAAAAAGTAGGATATAAATACCGGGATCTTATATCCTTCTTTTTATAAAGCTCTGTTCTTTATTACAGATAGCCATCTTCAAATTTATTTCATTTAATTATTTATTTTCTTCATTTTGCTCTTCAATTTTCTTTTGTGAAGAAAGTTACATACAGTTTTTAATCCTCATGAACCTCTTCAGATTTATAAATTTTTCAGGTTATCCTTTCTTTGTTCCAAGAAACATGTTCTCTCTAGATACAACTCTAAAGAAAAATAAATCTCTAAGATCATTGTCTATTTTTCCTATCGTGTTTCTGCCATGGTGATTCAAATTGTATGTAAGAGACTAGTTACTCATGTGATTGAAAGATACCTCCAGAATCCTAAAAAGATTCACAATTTGCCATTCAGATGGTCTGCAGCCTAAGTCCACCGTTTCAAGCCATTTTGCAAACTTCATCATAATTTGTTCTGATTATGTAGGAGAAGGAACGACAGAGCCTGGAGAAGGGGTGAAAAGAAGTATCAGTCTAGAATTCCTACATAGCCACAAACAACCTCAATTCCACCTCATTTATGTGCCTTTGTCCCTTATCTAACTCTAATCAATCAGGTGCTGAACATTTGTTGAAAAGGATTCTGTGCATAGGCTTTTAGCAATAAATCAATTTAATTGAACTCTCATATGTGGACCTTTCATACCCGACAAACTACTCATTTTGGTTGTATTGTACCCACTGCTGCCATGTAGATATTACCAGATTGTCTCTTAGAGAGCAGGGGTGAAATCAATTTACCTTCACTACCAGTTTGCAAATGTGAGCACCCACACAGGACCTTCCGCACATGCGCAGAGCATCAAAAACGAGACATGATGAGATCCAGATGGGTGGGCGCAGCCTCCTTCCACCAGCACTACCAGTTCGCCCGAACCGGATAGAACCGGCTGAATTTCACCACTGATCTAGAAGCTGTAAAGAACTTACATTTCTAGATTTTAATACCTTTACTCTTTGTGTTACAGTTTACTAAGCCAATACCAAAAAATTGAGAAACTGATTGGAACTGAACTATTTTCAGATCACAGCAGAAGACAACGATGGCTTTTTCAACTATTGTGTTCATTGTCTGGTTTCTTCATCTGACTAGATTGCAAGGTGAGAAAAGTTGCTGGGGAGGTGTTTGGGGGAGGCCATATTTAAGGATGTGTAAATCCCCTCCCCCCCTTTAATTCCCCCTTGACTTTCAAAGGAAATAAAGATGGGTGTGAGATAAGTAATAAATACACGATTTAATAAAAGTGCACAGAGGAAAATCACAAAGTCAAGTTGGTAACTGCAACTGTGCAATTGAAGAGACACTTTGATGTGGTTTTTAAAAAATGGGTCTTTGGTTATATTTCCATATCTGTAATCTTGACTATTTGACTCCCCAATCTCAGACACCTCTGTTCTTTTCAAATATTTTAATGATCCTGATTTTAATTTAGGGTCTTCATTTTAATTGTAGTATTACTATAAATTTTTTATTCATGTTCTTGTATTGTTGTACATAATGAAATGTATATGAGCACTTCTACAAACAAAAGACCAGGATATAGATTTAATAATGCATAAAATAATAACATTACAATTTCATCACTGCATTTCTTCCTAGAAATTCCTCCTTTACACACTCACCAAATCTAGACTTCATTAGTTTCAACCAAAATGACATAGCATATACTATTAAACGATACTATGTTGTGACGATATCTATTGTAAACAGAAATGTAGAAAAACAATTGCTATATTCCAGGCCGGGGGGGGCGGGGAGGATGAATGAAGATGGATGGTTTTAGATTCAATTGCAATGGGAAAGAGAGAGCGATAAATATTTGGACAGTCATTCTATTAAGCTAGCGAAGTTACATTAAAAATGCACCACCTATTCCCATTCTCAATAACATTTTATGAGACTAAAGGTAAAGGTTTCCTCTATCCTGTCATGTCCAACTCTAGGGGAAGAATGCTCATCTCCAATTCTTAACCAAGGGACCCAGCAATGTCCAAAGATATTTATGTGGTCATATGGCCAGCATGACTCGCTCAGAACACTGTTACCTTCCCACCTATTTATCTACTTGCATTTGCTTGCTTTTAAATTTCTAGACAGAAGCTAGAGAAAGTAACAGGAGCTCATCCTGTTGCATGGTGTTTGGGTCTTGAACTTGGGCTGTCAGTTTTACAGCTGACATGCTCAATGTCTTTAACCAACGAGCCATTAGTTATGTGCTGTTAGATTTTTGATTGCTGTATATTCTCCAGGTTTAAGTTCCAGTCAGTTATTTTCAGAATTGTATCTTTCTCTCAATATTGAACAAAATTTATTCTGACTCCTATAACACTTTTAACAATTATAGAGATATTTAATTTTATTTATTAATTATATGTGTGTAAGTGTGTGTAGCCTGTTTCCCCAAAAATAAAACCTATCCCCAAAATATAAAACCTAGCAATTTTTTACATGTGCCCCTCATATGAGCCCTCATATTTGCTGGTAAAAAACTGAAGGGAGACTAGTATAGATCTATTTCAAGCTATTTAGCTCTCATCAGCTACCCACACCCTTACTGGTATTCAAACTTGGGCTTCTTACTTTATTAGGCAGTTGTACTAACCTCTAAGCCACAAGTTCTCCTCCCTTTATCAGCTGAACCGGGGAGAGATTAAGTGTTTAAGCATAAAATATGCTCGTGTGTATGTGTTTATGAATTTATATATGAATTTATTGATTTTAAAATTGAATTAAATAAATAAAATAAATATCTGAGGGACTTTTATGTGTGTGAGAGAGAAAAAACATTTAACAATAAAACAATAATAATATAAAAATTTAAATTGTATCTCATTCTTCTTTAACTAAAGGTATTGTTAAGTTTACTAATTTTGGGCTAGGACCCCCCCCCCCCAAATAGAAATTGGGGGATGAGTGTCTCAGGAGCTCACAGTTTTATCATTCTTTGATACATTTGTGTGACATCACAATGCATATAAAAAAGGGGCAGGGCTTGTATTACAAGACCACAGTGCTGCTTTGATCATTCTGGCCTCCCCTCCCCACAGGCCTCCTCCAGAGAAGAAATAATGTATTGGAGACGTTATTTCCATCTACCAATTGTTTCTTTCAGGGTGCAAAATGGAAAAAGGATCACTTGGGCTCTCTTTCCATCTTAGTCCTACATCTATTGCAGTAAGAGAGTTAAATCTAGAATAGTCAACGCCACTCCTTCTGGGACTGTTTATGTTAATTATGCACAGCATTGATCTGGGTGACTTTGAGAAGGTTCGGTGCCCTTTATATAAATATACATATATATAGTTTGTTTCTCTGTGTGCTTTAGCTTGCCCTCTGTCCCATTTTCCTAGTTAACTATTTTATCTTACTTTTGCTGGTGTTTTAACAAACATTAAGCTATATTTTTGCTAGCCAATCTGAATGGCAGGTGTGTTTCCTCATATAAGGAGGAAGGGAGCAAGGGAGAGTGTGCTGGCTGCAAAGTGAACTGGAAATTATTCAGTTATTTTCCAATGTGTGGAAGTCCACATTTTGGCATCTAACAAAATGTGAAACACTATAAAGCCAAATTATCCCCAGCCTCCCTTAACCCACTGAAGAAAGCCATTAGCAAGCGGAAAACAACAACAGCTCTCTTCAAATAAAAATAACAAAATGAGAAAACATACAGGTAGTGTTTGACTTATAATTGTTTAGTGACCATTTGAAGTTACAATGGCACTTTTAAAAGTGACTTACAACCAGTCCTCACACAACTGTTACAGCATCTTCATGGTCAGATGATCCAAATTTAGCCACTTGGCAACTGGGATGTATCTATGACAGTTGTGGCATGCCTGGGTCATGTGATCACCATTTGTGAGAGAGAGTCTGACAACCAAAGTCAGTGGGGGAGTTGGATTCACTAAATGACCATGTGATCCACTTAACATCTACAGTTATTCACTTGATAATCATGGCAAGAAAGATTGTAAAATCGGGCATGGCTCACTTAATAACCCCCTTGTTTAGCCACAAAAATTATGGTCCCAATTGTAGTTATAACTTGAGGAGTACTTTATTAGCTTCAGGATCAGTTCTTCACCTGCTTTTGAAATACTTCTTGAACTTAGAAGAAAAGATACTGAAATGGGCAGTATAAACTAGGTAGGACTAGAGTCCATTTTAGCCCATTTCTTCTCATTAGCCAACCATCTTTCTTGAGGTAGTAGGGATCCTGAACTCCATCTCTGATGGAGCTGGCAATCTGCAATAACTTATCAAATGTATAAGTTTTACAACACTCCAGAACTAACTATAACCAGAATCTCTTATTATATTTTACCCCTTTTTTAAATTCCTTGGGGTTTTTTTTAAATCTTATTTGGAAAATTAAAATTACTTATCTTTTCTTTTTCCAACAGCTGCTGCTGACCCGGAAATAGGTAGGAATTTCTATGTACCCTAAAAACCTTTTGCACAAATTGGCACTGAATGGTGAAAAGAAAACCCATTTGCCTTTTACAAAACCTTAGATATGTTGTTATGTTGCTTCTAGCACAATATAATCTTCAGAACCATTGCTATAACTCCAATTGCATTTTGTCACTTTCTTATTGCTAATGAGTTAGGCAAAGAAATGTTATAAATAAGATATAATATGAAATAATGAGTCAGCTAACTTGGTCGCTCAACAGCGAGATGCTGGTGTAGCGGGCATGGCAGCACCTGCATTTTCTACACCATAGCAGAAGAGCATATCTTTCTTCCCCCTGTCCTTACCACTTTCTACAGAGGGACAATTGAAAAGAGCCTCTTATATTGTATTAGTGTTTGATCTGGAAGTATTACTGTTTTGGACAGGAAGGTGGTGCAGAAAGTGGTGAGGACAGCAAAAAAGACTATTGGAGGTTCAGTGCCTTCTATCAAGGACATGGCATATAAGCAATATCCAGGCATAGTGGGCGTAGGTGTCCTTTTGAGAGTAGGCATCAGAATTTCATTTTTAATATATACATAGAAAAATGGCAACAAAGGTTATTTTATAATATCTTAGAATGCTTTGTTCCTTGGCAAGTAATTCATTATTTGACATGGTTGAGTTATCCTCTTCCATATTAAAAAAGAAACCAGGCTTTTTTCTTGGGACTGGATCAAAATCGACATATGAATGAAGCCTAGTGCTGATCTAAACACAGGAGTGAATCACATACTGACAAGTTATGTAGATATGCATGTTAAATATTAACTTGTTTCCCAGGAGACACAAAATCATTGGAAACTTTCTTCTGAAAGTCATATACAAATTCATTCAAAAAGAGAAAGTTTGTTTCTTGCAGGGTTTCAGTTGTTGAGCTTCAGAGGTATGGGGAAAAGTTCCCTTAATTTCTTATTATAATCCAAAATCTAAATCAATTTTTTTTGTTCCTTTTCAAGTCAAGGTTGACTTCTGGCAACTGCCTGGATTAGTCCCTATAATGTTCAGGCAGTATTTTGAAAGTGGTTGAAAGACAATGACTGGCCAAGATGATCCAGTAGCTTCATATCTAAGATACAACTAGAACTCATAGTCTCCCAGTTTTTAGCCTGGTACCTTAACCATTACATCAAACTCCTTCTCCCTCTCTTTCTTTCTCTCCCTTGTCTCTTCTATTCTGCTCTTTCTTGGAAGGTTGTAAGAAGCCACTAACCTCTACAAGAATTGTTGGAGGCCAACCAGCTTCTGAGGGGGCATGGCCCTGGCAAGCAGGTCTTACAGTACTCAACATAACTTTTTGTGGTGGCACCCTCATAGACAAGAACTGGGTGCTGACAGCTGCTCATTGCTTCAGCTGGTAAGTTACTGGACTGTAAAATTAAGTGAGAAAAATAGATGGATGGCTATTATTATGATGCTATTCTTTTTAATAAACTAGAGTTTCCAGGGAACAGCAATATTATGGCTTGTTACATAGCCAGATATTTAGACTGGATGTGCCATTTTTATCCACCTATCAAATCTTTCCCAAGAACATGGAATAGGCAGATGTTGTTTGATGGTGTTAAAGGTGCTGTTGCAAAATGTAGAAAGCTGCCTTTTTGCAATTGACTAATGGTGATTTTGTCAATGCCAGGGGTATTCAAATAGGTGCTTTGAGATTGCACACAAGGTGGCTGTTACAGAAGTAGGTTTCTACTGGTTCGGCCCAGTAAAGCCAAACCGATAGTGGAATTCCGGCCTGGGTTGCAGAACCAGCAGCAACCTAGGCTGGCCACGCCCCTCAACCAGTTCCCCAGTCACCGCTGCCATCGTTGCCACCACCATCTTTTTTTTTAGTTCTGCACATGCGCAGAACAATTTCTATTGAATTGTAAAGCATGTGCATGAGCAAACCAGCAGTAATGTCAGTTGAAACCCACCCCTGGGCTGTTACTATTGGTATTACCTTTGCTTTCTTTTGCCAGTAGTTCTATTTCTCATCTTCAAATGTTTTATTTCATTTTTCATTTTCATTTCATACAATCACATATATACTGTGCATGATTGGGGCCATATAACATTGAGCGATAAACACAGTCCTCCTTATGTTCCCCCAAATACAAAACCAATATAACGCTTCAACCCTCCATACACCCTTTCTTTCTCCCCCCTCCAACTTTCCTTTCTCCCCT